TGGGGGGGGGGGGATGAGGCAATTACGGTCGCGGGTGGGGTGCCCACGGAATGTTGCTTCATCGGTGAAGCTTTTTTTTTATTTTAGTTTTTTGTATCATGTTGGGCTCTAGGGCATGTGTTTGGTATGCGGAGCTATGCATACCTCGCGGCGAACCCAACTGCCAACATGCGTAGTCTAGTGGGCTAGAGTGGTCCGTGAGGCTTCAGCCGACGACCGGGGAGCGCGGAGGGGGTAGGCAGATGTGTGTATGCGGGGAGGGGGGGGGATATATGCTAGGTTAGAGAATATGAAGAGACGACATCTTGGTAGGGTTCATTTTTGCGAGTGGTGTCGTATTCTTTACGCACGTCAGAGAGTTGCGTCAGCCTCGACATCGTCACCCCGCGTTGTAGCTGAGAATACCCACTTTCACGCCCCCTATCCCCAGCAATACGGAAACGTGGGGGGTAATTTCGAGCAGTATCTTGCCTAATAGAGGAGAAGTGTAAATGGCGATGGGGCTGCTCGTGTGTTTAGCGGCTGCTTTTTTCGTGTGTTACTTTTTTTGTGCGGGCTCCCCAGCTTCTTTACTTCTCCCCCGCTAAGAAGGTCCTTCGGAGTGTCTGGGGGAAGCATGAAACGACTGGCTTCCACGTGCGAGCAGTCACACAATTTGTGCATAGAGATGCGTGGGGCAGTTTGTGGAGGAAGGAGTGTTGACTATGCATTGTAGTTCGTTGGTTTGCTGTAGGTTGAGGTGCATCCCCTTGCGGAACAATTTGCTTGGGAGCTAGCTGTGTTCGTTGGTTCCATTCTCATCATGCCTCTATTTTGCACTCCTTTTAAGGTAGTTCGCTGTTGCGCGTAGTATACCAGCCCGAGTGGCAGAGAATGTCGATCGCTACATGCACACCCGGCGAGTCTCGCGAAAATATTTGTTTTAGTTTTGTTGCCCACGATTCAGTTGAAAGCGACGTCTTTCTGGCAACAGAGCGATACGGCAGGGATTTGATGTGGGTTCCTACTCCTGGACCGTACCTGCGGCCAACTGTGAGACGTGAGAGTGCAATCGCGCGATTGATAAGTTTATTGGGAAATAGAACGGGGAGGGGGGACGCAGACCCTATTCCCTAACCCAACTTCCCCGATTGCATGCCTCATCCAACATGTGAACTTTGTAATACGACAAGACACGAAAAACCCTGCGAAAGGCTACTGGAGACTTGAGACGTGCGTGCTTTAGGCGTTCGACCATGCGCGGGCCATGGCCAAGGGGTCAGCGTTGTTGTTGCGTCCGACGTAGGGGTGACACTGTCTGACGATGGAAGTACCTGGTGTTCGTGCGAGCCAGCAATGCGCGTGTGATTTATTTTGTAACCCGTGGGACTAGCTGTTGTGTTTCAAGTACGACATTCCATCGCGACTACATCGTGTTCAGCGACAGGGAGGGGTTATGGCATGTGCTCTCTGTCGCGGAAGATACTGGCACCATCCCCTCTGTAGACTTCGGTCGATCTAGCTTTTAGTGAGTTGCGCCACCTCCCTTTGGGGGTAAGACGTGAAGGCTGTTGTCAAAGTCGTATCTTGTCGCTTGGCAGACAACACAGGAGACAGGAGGGATATATTAATCCTCACCACATGTTTGCCACCAATTCGCGGGCACCACAGCTCCCACGCGATGGTGTCTTGAGAAGCGTGCTGACAGATGTTGTTGGAGATAAATCTCCGACGAGAGCAAAAACACAACATTCTGCGCGTCGCCAGCGACTGCTGTAGTCTCGTGGACAACGAGGATTGTACCGCAAGATATGTCCAGGTACGGAAAGATCGGGTCAAGTGCCAAGGATGGACGTAAGAAAATGCGTACCAGGGATGGTACCAAAACACGAGCATGCACGTAACTGGCCCGCGTACTTGCGCATGGGAGTTGAGATAAAAATGGGCGGCAACGGGCAGCAGCAGCCGATCCGCCCCACCCATCCCCTTGTGATGTGCAAAATTGAGACCCCTTCTTTCATCTTGCCTGCCTGGATAGGCCGCCACTCATGGTTACGGTAACCGATCCAACCACGCGCGCGACAAACACAACGGAGTCACAAAAAAAAACATGTGATGATCTAGTCCTACATTTCCGCCGCCGATGACCTCTACGTTAACAAACCGCAAGAGAAGAGAGAAAACCGCAAATAGTATTTCCCACAAACGGGAGGCTAAGAAAATATGGAATGGTGCGCGCATGCTCCCGGGTACCTACTGCTGTATCGCGAGAAAAAGGGACATCATCACCTCTGTCCCAGCGCGAAAATCTGTTATCCAAATGGGGGACAGCAGCA